AACCTTACATATAATCAATTCAACTGTTTTAAAGGTCACGACATACTAAAATAAGGTAACTTTATCTAAATTAACGACATTTACATAGAGTCACTATATATAAAAATAATTATGTCAATTTTGACGATATTTACACATAGGTCATTATATACAAAAATAAGGTAATTACATCAATTTTGACAACATTTACATAAAGGTCCTTATGTACAGAAATAAGGTAACTATATCGAATTTGAGTATTTAATACCATTTACATAAAGGTTACTATATACAAAAATAAAGGTCACTATATATAAAAATAAGGTAACTACATCAATTTTGACAACATTTAAATAAAAAATGCTATATACAAAAATAAGGTGACTGAAACAAATTTTACAACATTTCCATGATGCTAAGGTCATTATATACAAAAATACGGTAACTATATATATACACCATTTACCCAGAGGTCAATATATACAAAAATAAGGAACTATATCATTTTTGACCACATATACATATAGGTCACTATATACAAAAATCGGTCCACCTAAGCTTTGAAGACCTCACTCTCCTCCTTTTAAATGTTGGACCACCTGTAGTTCATGCCATATCCAAGTAAATCTACTAAATAAATCAAAAGAAAATAAACAAAAGGTGAGAAATTAATATAAATTAATAGTTCATTGTTTGCTGAGAAAACAACTAAACAAGAAGCACACATGTAATAGCAACGGGGAAAAATGATCATTGATCAACTTCGGATGTTTCATTCATTGTCTTGAGAATTGATACGATCAGATTTATTGAATCAATTAAAAAAAAAAAAAAAAAACCAGAGTCAATCAATTTCCTAAGAATCCTCTGACCAGTTAATGCAACTATATCAGATCACTAAAGATAAATAAAAAAAATACTATAACAAATTTACAACAAAGTCTAACCATATGTCAACAATAAACTAGCTTCATTAAGCATTTCAGCTGGCTACTCATATGCTACTAAAAATGAGTGATTTAGTTTCAATGCAAGTAGATGGTCAATAACAATAAGTAATCTAGCACATGATCCCACTTTATACCCCATACTTGTATATACTTTATTGAAATTGATCATCATAAAGTGCTTTATATAAAGAAATCTGCTTCAATGATTTGATTATAATGTGGAAATATATGACTTGTTATATCCATTATCAAATCAATCTACACAAACAAACTAAACAAAGGGGTTGATGGGCAACTGCAATGTGACCAAAATAACAGATGAGGGACTATTTTAGAATTTAGAGGTTGTTTATATAGAAGAATAGAACGAGGACAATCAAACAATGCAAGAACAAGCGGCAAAGCATATTCAATTTAAATTTATCAGTAAACAACTATGACCAAATCCGATTAAACAACCCCAATCCGAACTCGACATAAAATGAGGCAACAATCAAACATGAATTTGCCTCACTCATGGACAACAACCAAAGAAACCACATACTCTATCCTTAGCATCAGTTGTATCTTTTCATAACCACAACTATGACTAACAGACTAATATTTAAAAGCACACCTTATACACTTTCTTGGGAACGACATCAACAAGTTCCTCCCAAAATAAGGTGGGGTCATAATATTACAAGGAAATCTCATATACTCATAGATGCTTTATTTAATTTGGTCATCTTTTTTTTCCAAACCTTAAAATGCAACACGTCGGAGTTGGACACTACAGGTAATTGTTAAGCCAAGCCATAACAATTTATGAGTACGACTAAACGAATATCAACATATCACAAGACAAGGCTTCTAATGGGGCTCTTGCCATTAATGCTAAACATATACTCTATAGTCTACTAAATTAATTCTTCTTTCATTTATTGGTACTAGACAGTAGACACTAGACAAATACTGATTCAGAAAATAAATACAAGCAGACCTTGCTTTTCTAATTTACTCAAACGTAATTTACTAGGATCACAAACACAAAAAATTGTGTTAAAAATAGGTGAAGAACAACAACAAGAACAGAGTTTTGAGCAAAAATACACATAAAAACCTGATTTACTAAAACCAAGCAAAATTGAACAAAATACAGTTCAAAACTACTCATATGAAAATGAAATTGAAAAATCCAAATCAAATCGAAAATTTCCCGATAAAAAAATGACCAAATTCACAAAATTAGACAAAAATCATAATAAAAAAAAAAAACTCAAAAAATTACACAAATGCATCTCAAACTACTCCGACAAAGTTAAAATTTAAATCGAAAATCAAAATTCAGATCGTAAAATCAATTTGATTTCAAAAAATCATAGAAAATAAAAAATTTCAACATTAATAGAAAACCTAAATATAACATGATAGCTCAAATACAATGATATGAAGAAATTAATGTGATTACAAATATAAATTCACTAATTCAGAGCTAAAATAAACAAAATTCTCTCAAATAAGACTAAGTTGATAAAAAAAAATAGCAAAATTATAAACGATTTACTCACTTAATAGATCGTAGATGATAATAGCAACCAATTTGATGAAAAATCGAAGTAATTACAAGAATTACAACTGTGATTTGAAGAAGTAGAATGTAATTTGAAGAAGAATGGAGAAATTTGGAGAGAGAGAAAAGAGAGGAGAGAGAAAGTTACGCGTGCAAATGAAGGAGGAGAGAGAAATTAAATGCTTTAGTCTGAAATTGTGGAAAAAAAAAACCCCAACCGTTAGATTTATTGAGTCAGTGGTTGATTATAATCTACGGTCAAGATTTGATGTTTTCAGTTTTTAGCTTAAGCCTTGTTTTCACATGATCCACTCCATATATATATATATATATATATATATATATATATATATAATTTCTGATATTTGTTTAATTTTGTTATATCAACGCAACACCCTTTTTTTATTTTTAATTTTTTTTAAAACTATTTATAATTTATTGTTTTGGGATGATGAGTTTCCATCCCACTACCCGTTTTTGCTCCCGTAACTATCTCGGTGCTACAAGCTTCTCCAGCAAGTCGGAAGCTCTACAACTTTTTTTTTTTTTTTTTTTTTTTTTAAATTACATAAGAGTATGCTCTTGTATGAGAAAATATATTTATTCCTTTGAATTTACATTCCCTTGGATCCTTATTTTGTTGATTCATCTAAGTTGGAGGTACTCATAGTTATCACAAACATAAGGAAACCTACACTAAGTTTATAGTGGTCATTTCTTTTGTTCTGATCTTTTTTTTTTCTTCTTCTCTTTATTTCTTCATAAGATAAAAGACAAGATTTAAATCTGTTTAAGTGTTTAATGTTTGTCAGATTGCCCCAACAATATATCGTAGTCGAACAGTATTTGAGGATGCAACTGCTGAGCTGGTGAGAGATTTTTTTTGGGATGATGAGTTTCGTCCAAAATGGGATCCTATGCTTACATATTTCAAGATATTAGAGGATTGCTCTCATACAGGAACAATGACTGTTCACTGGATTAAGAAGGTATATTTATCTTTCGTTTCTTTTATTTGATCCAAAATATGCCAAAGTTCTCTAATTTTGAGAGAGTATATTATAAACTGGTATCTTGTGTGTGCAGTTCCCCTTCTTCTGTAGTGACCGAGAATATATTATTGGCCGGAGAATATGGGAGGCTGGAAAGGCTTATTACTGCATTACAAAGGTATAGTCTAGTGAATTACTTTTCCGTCGGTATACTATCAATAACGGTCATGATGTTGCTCTCTAAATTTGATGTCAAATTCTTTTAAGGATTTTATATTAGGAAAAATTGAAGCTAATAATCCCACCTTTGGCTCATCTTCTCAAAACAATCCCACGTTTGCGTATTCTGGAAACAATCCCACCTTAATACCCCATATTCTCAAAACAAGTCTTTTACCAGTTTGTGAAATTAGTAACCTGCTTTTGAAGGTAATATGATACGTGTCACCTTATAATTTTCTTAAAAATAAAGGAATAAACAAAAAAGAAATAAAAAATAATAACCCTTCTTCTTCCTTCCCCAGCCGGAGTTAAAATCCGTTGCTGGAGCAGCCGCCAGCGGACTAGCCGGACCCAGCCACTCGCCGGAACAGCTGGACCCAGCCACTGTCTTCCCCGATTCCCTCCCCTTCCTCGATTGTAACCACTATTATCACCACCGCTACCACCACTCCTCCGTAACAACCATAACCACAACCAACCATACCACCATGACTTTCTCACCTAACCCAAGCCAGCCCGGCTAGCCCCTCGAAAAACGTTACCCCCTCCCCGAAGATTAAAGATTGAAGATGCTCCGTGACAAATTGCTGTAATTAAAGCCCGGAATTGTTGAAATTAGGAGGCGAACTACTTTAATTGATGATTACGGGTGGTGATTGCTGTAATGAATTGTTGAAATTAGGAGGCGAATTGGTGATTGCGGGAGCTGCGATGCTTCGATAATCGCAGGTTGCTGGGCGAAACTGACGGTGCGAGATGGGTGTTGCGGCTGACATTTTAAGCTGGTGGTGATGGTGGTTATTTGGTGTTGTGGGCTGTGCGGTTGGTGCAGCTGGGAGTAAGATGAGTGGGGTGTGGTGCAGGTTTAGGAGGTGAGTGGTGGAGGATAAAAAGCTAGGGGGGAGGGAATGTGATTGGGGCAGCCACACTTTGAAGCCGGGAAAGGGGGGAAGCCGGGAAGGTGGTAAGTTTGGTGGTTATGGATGGGTGAGAAGGTGGTAAGTTTGGTGGTGATAGATGGTCATGGTGGTTGAGGTGGAAGATGAAGGGAAAAAAGAAAAAATTAACTTGTAAAACAGGTTGAAGGTAAAAAGGCTTGTTTTGAGAATATGGGGTGTTAAGATGGGATTGTTTCCGGAATACGTAAAGGTGGGATTGTTTTGAGAAGATGAGTCAAGGGTGGATTTATTAGTTTCATTTTTTCCTTTATATTATTGTTATTTTAATTTTTTATTTTTTGAAGAAAAGGTACACGTGGAAGTTTGTATGCTATTAGAAGGTGTTTATTTTGTGATATTTAGGAAAGGGTAAATGAATCAAAATGGTTCACTCCCTTATTTGTTAGGACAATTTAATTATTCTCTTTACACTCTTCATTCCAACAAAAGTCTTTTACTTTGATTCCCCCCTATTCCCTTTCTTCAAGCCTCCCACACTACTACGAACACCACCACAACTCTGACCACCACCCACAACCATAAACCTCGACCACCACCGTCCTAGAACTGAACCTAATATATCATTTGCAGCTCAGTGAAACCTATATGGAGGGGGTAGAAGTAAAGTAGGCATGAAATACATGTATGTGGCGTCCCAACCTAACACCCAAAAGATAGAAAAAGTTAGAGGGGATCAAATTTACCTTCTCTCTATGAATCCTATCTAGTCTTCAAACTCTTCAAAAGATCTATAAATCTACCGAATGGCCCAATTTTCCCTAAGGGTTAGTAGGAAAACCGTAATCTGAGAAATTGTGCCATAATTGGACAATTGAGTTGGATTACGGGTCTTGTAATCAATAGACTAGTATTGCTGACGGAGATGCTCTTGCATTACAAATACTGATGGAAATTCTCACCGGATGATAGCAAACTTTTTCTGGGGGAAGGATTGATGAGAAAAACAATGTTGGGGGGGGGGTATTTAGAAAGAAATGTAGGTGTATGGTTAGATTGAATGAAAAGTTGAAGTGGGGGAGCGAAGGGACCATCAAAGGGAAAATGGCTTGCTTCATTTCAAGTGCTACTCTATTTCTTGCACATTAATAGTCTGAAATGGATCATGTCATATATTATGTCATATATATTATGACTGACTCCCTATTTATGTCGATAGAGAATTATTTGCAATAAGAATTTTCCACGTGGAATGGTTTGCTATAAATTTATAAAGGAGATTAATTGTTTATTGGATTGGGATTCTCAAGCGTAGGACAAGAATTGAGCCTGTATGAAAAAATTAGATGAAGGAAGTGCATTCAAAACCTGTTATCCTTTTTCAGGTCTTTTATCTATGTTCAAATGATTTGAATTTTCAATTTGCTTCTCTCCTTTCTTCTCCTTATTTGTCTCAAGCTACAATTCTGTGCCATGCAAGTCAATGAAGGTTAAACAAGTTCATAGGTGAGGAACAGTGGCAGAGCCAAGATTTTCATTATGGGTGACTTTCAAATTTCGTCAAAAACATTAAATACAAATGTTAGATCACATAATATTCTTGATACTTATTAAAGTCTTATATTTCAGGCATAAGATTTGTTACTCAAAAGGTATTACCCAACAAAGAACTAAACCCTCACTTATAATGTACCCAAGAATTTCACCTTATGGGTTCAAAATGCTTGAAGCATGAGAAATAAGAGTGCCAAAAATAATTACAATTTAAGAAGTTTAAATGAAATTTTAAATGCAACTTAAGGTGGAAATTATTCATCTTTGTGATTGTTTAAAATTTAATGGGTGTGATTCATCTTTAGCAGTTTTTTTTGTTTAATGTAGTTAGTTGATCATTTTCATCTTTGGAATTTTCTTCTGGGGGCTTGAGGGATTGTCATCTTTCTGCAATTATAAAATGCTTAAGGTAAAAAAAAAAAAATTTAATTTTAAGGAGATTTGAACTCAAGACATGAAAAACTTAAGGGAAGATACAAACCACTTGGCTAGAGCATATTTGCCTACAAACTATGTACAAGACTTTGTTTTCAAGTTATTTAAAAAAAAAAAAAAAATTAGAGGGCATTTGTCCCTCCTGTTCTTAACTGGTTCAGCCAGTGGTGGGGAAGGTTGAAGGATAAAGAGGATAGTAGGCAATTACATTGAAGGATATGAACCTTGTCACCACCTGGATGATTACTCCATATGAACTAAGTTTTTAAACATTCAAATCACCTTTTAGGAAGGAGCGTTTTACACCATAGATAGATAGCTAGAGATTGAAGTCGAGACTAGAGATCGTGTAAGGATTTTTTGGTCTATAGCATAAGCGTGACTCATTTAACAAATAGTTAGAGGAACATAGTTAGGGCGGTAGGGAGAGCTCATATACTCAATAATGGATTAGGGAAGGTAGTAGTAGTAGTAGTTCTTCATTTGTAGACCTCCATAGCCCCACAACGGTGGGGCTTTATATTTGTTGGCTGTTTCACAGATCTGAAGTCACTCAGAAGAATGCCTTCTGTGCTGCATACCATTAGTAGTTCCTCTTGATTTACTTTATGCTGTCTTATTTGTGTGGAGCAGTGTTATCTTAACATAAATCAAATGCATGAAATGGAAAATTTTGTCACTTGATAGAGTTCAATTAATGATATTCATTTGCTCAATGCAATTTTTAGGGGGTCCCGTATACAAGTTTGCCCAAGCGTGATAAGCCAAGGCGTGTAGATCGTTATTTTTCTAGTTGGGTTATCAAACCTGGTGAGTGCATCCAATCTTTCACCTTTATATAATAATATCTTTACAATATTATTGCCTTTATATTCTGCAGGTATATTTTATTAATTTATAATTCACTGGTGAAAATTGCAGCAAAGTCTCTTAGAGATGGACAAATGACAGCCTGTGAAGTTACTTTGGTTCATTATGAGGACATGGGTATCCCTAAAGATGTGGCGAAATTGGGTGTGAGGCATGGAATGTGGGGAGCTGTTAAGAAACTACATTCCGGCATGAGAGCATATCAAAATGCTCGGAAACCGGGGGTATCCCTTTCCAGGTGTGCCGTGATGGCAAGCATTACTACACATATTTCCTTTGACGGGGATACCTCTGAGGTAGCTTCTGGTGAAAACGAGCAGAGTCAATCTTTAGACCTTCGAACATGTAAAAAGTTGGGCATCATAGACTGGAAATGGGTTCTTTTAGGAGGAACTGTAGCAGTGATTTGTGGACTTCAAACAGGGGTTGTAAGAAAAGCTTTGTTGATTGGAGCAGGGAGGAAAATTTTGCGGAGCTGAGATATGTTTGTCGGGAGTTGTAATTCTTGTATAAATTGTAGGCAAATGTATCGTGCAGTATCCTCAAATATTGATTCAGTATCCTCAAATATTGATTCATTTGGCGTTAACATTTTCTTCATCTTCGTGTAAGAGCCTCTTTGTAAAAATTATGTATTCGTTTACCCTACAATTCATTGCAAGTTGCAGTTAACCACCGGCTTTCCATTGTACTAAACCATCACTAGTTTTTATATGTAAGGTTGAAGTAGTACTTGTTTGTAGTTTGCACTGAACCTGACTTATTTCCATTTTATTAGTCTTTGCAACAAAATGTAATATTGGCAAGATCAGAGTAACGAAACCTGGGCCTCAATTCCTTGACCTTGATCTCATGATTTTGAGAATCCACACGGTCCATTACAGTTGCTCAGTTATAAATGTACTTAGATTTGGAATCTATTGATGAATGAGAGACACAATGGGTTCACAAGAAATTTTCAAATTTAGCTTGAGTCGAGCTAGCTAATTTGTATAGTGCTTGTTTAAAATTGGCTTATTTAGGTTTTATTATTGTTCAAACTTGGCTCATGAGTATGTTGTTTAAATTTGAACATTAACGACCTTTTGATAATTGCGCAAAATAAATGAAAAAGGTCAAATTTAAACAACTTAAAACTTATTTGGGCTCAATAATTAATATTAGTATTAAAAGAAGGAAAATGTTATATATAGCCCTAAATAACATTAATTGCATTGATTTGCGCACGGTTTTGTCATGCAATCCTAAATTAATATTTCCTACCAAATTAGGAAAGATATCAAGTGCTTATACTTAGATCTAAAGGATACATATAGCATCACCCTTAAAATAAAACATAGATCAATAATTCAATTTAAACATAGATAATTGGTAAAGTTTTTGGTGAGACAGACTCACCGTGAGTCCACCATCTTCATTCTCCAGTTTTCCTTCCCCTTTCTCTCTCCTCCCGCCCATCAATGGCGGCCAAATCCTTCACTCTCCGCCTCCTCTCTCGCTCCTCCAGCCAATTACTCCGTATTGATGGTTGATGATGCCTAAAACAGGAATATAAATTTTTATTTAATCTTTATTTACAAACTTATAGGTTATCTCCAAGATTGAAAACTTAATGTTTAGTAGCCCACCAACTGTTCGAGGAATTGCCCCAGTGAGCTTGTTCTTATTTGCCCTGAATCTTATCAATGAAGAACATTGTCCCAACTCATTTGGGATAGGAACCGACAAATTGTTGGATAATAGCAACAATTTGTTGTATGATGTGAAATCTAAGGGTTGAGGAGAGATAAAATATTGTAACCATGGAAGAAGAAGAGGGTCAGTGGTGAAGGAGAAAATAATATCAGGTATTAGATTATTATTGTTTGGTATTAGATAATTATTGTTAGGTATTAGATTATTATTATTTGGTATTAGAGACCGGACTCAAAACCTTCTCTAGATAGTTTATGCAATGTAAATTACCTTTAATAAAAAGTAAATGTTGCTTTATGTTTTACTATATTGTTTTATTTTATTTTTAAATTTTAGAAGGACGTTAATACTCCAAGGGGCTAATTGTACTCCCTTATGCTTCTTTTTTTCATTAGAAAGTACAATTTTGTTTCATGTCCTAATTCTTTCTCCATAACTTTTCTCCATTCTTCTTCTATGAACACTCACTAATCAAGTTAAAGGTATTGTCTTCATTGTTCTTTATTATTTGTTTTCATTGTTTCCATTACATATTATGCATCCAACTAATTAATTAACTAATTACATGGTCATGGAAGAAGTTAGGGAAGAAACATAATAGCTTTAAAATGTTGATGTCTAATCCATTGCAAGAGCTTGAACACTCAATTAATTTGAAAAAGTACTTCACTTAAGCAGAAACAAAAGTAAAATTGATCAACTGTTGATTAGTAGACTTGACAAAACTAACCCATACTTGATTATCCAGCCTAAAATGCCTGAACCATAGCCTAAATGGCTGAATTCTAACCAAACAAATTGATCCGACCCCATTGGATGCATGTATCACAAGTGCATCTAACATTCCAACCTCATAAGTTATACCAAAAGAAAACCGTTTTGTAGCTTCATAAAAGCAAAATTTAGATGCGTAACCCTCAAATCATAATATGACATTGTTATTTATCAACTCCAAAACAAACAGCTCAACAGCTGGGATCAAGAGAGAAAGCATTCACACTCCCCAAGATACTAAAAAACTAAAAAATACAATGTTCATTGATGAAACATTCAATATTGACCCTTGTAATTAGTAAAGGGTTTGTTGATAATGGAACTACACATTAAGAGAGAGTTTTTGAGCTGCAAGTGCCTCAGCTTCAAGTGTGGGTTCCCAAAGAATTGTTGTCTCAGCTAGCAAACCTGTAACCACGTAAGGGTCCATGTTTGAAGCGGGTCGCCTGTCTTCTAGGTACCCTGTAAAGAATCAGGACATTAGTACAAGGTTTATGTTATGACGGTTGCTTTACTTTAATGCAACTTTCTCACAACCCTTTAAAACCACGTCATAGTTGCAACGATTGTATGACTAAGAGAACTATTTTACCTTTCCCTTCCTTTTCTGTATCACGACCTACACGGATTGAGCAACCACGATTGGCAACACCCTGAACAAGTTATTTGCATAATGTTAACACTTTGAAAACAGATTAATAATAAACAAATATTCACCTGAATACAGCAAAAACCAAATGCGAAGTAAAAGATGGATATATACCCAAGAGAATGTGTTGATGTCTGCAGTCTCGTGCTTCCCAGTCAACCTTCTTTCATTCCCTTCTCCGTATGCACTGATATGATCTCCATGGCGTAGAGACAGATTCAAAATAGCCTTCTTTATCACTTCATATCCGCCTTCTTCTCTCATCGTCTTTGTACTAAGATAAAACAACAATTGCATTCATTACTATAAAAAACTTGTAATATTTCAACAGGTTAAATTAACATATTTACAAGATTATGCCATCACTAGATACGAGAAGAAAAATGTAATGAAATTTTCAAGTTACCTGTAATTGGTATGGCAACCTGCACCATTCCAGTCACCCTGTCGAAAAGGTAGGTGTTGGAGAAATGTTTAAATTTATTATATATGCTTAACAAAGAGCTGATCACTAATACAAAAAGATAATGGTAGTACCTCAATTGGCTTTGGATCAAGTGTCAGGACTACACCAGTTTGTTCAGTAATCCTCTGTTTGAAGGAAAATAAACCAGTTAAACACTATTAGAATGTCTTTGATGTATGATTAGTTGGTCATATTTACTGGACCAAATTGGTTCTGATCGAGTCAGTTTCAATAAGAGGCTAGTACAAAATGGCTATGTTCTTTCCTGCACACCACGGTATAGTTCAGACTTTAGATGTTTTGGATAATTGAGTACAAATTAATTTAGTCGAGACTTGGATACATAAATAACTATCCTATTGTAATTACTTGTAAGTATCCACAATAACCGGAATTATATGTCATCAAAAACCAAACATTATAGTGATTGGCACAATATAAACTGAAGGGACTAGTGTAAATGAAAAAACACAAAATTCAGGCGAATACCTCAAGAATATATCTGGCACACCAGACATGATCTCCAGCATCAATACCAACACTAGGACCAACTTGGAATTCCCACTGCAGGAGCAAGTAAATGTAGCATTTGGCTGGTTAGATAATTAGCTATAAAAAGTGATGAATTACTGATGATAGCCAAATTACAAGGGTGTAAGAAGGAAACCTGGCCCGGCATAACCTCCCCATTGGTTCCACTTATGTTAATTCCAGCATACAGGCAAGCTTTGTAATGAGCATCAGATATGTCACGTCCAAAAGATTTTTCAGCACCAACACCGCAGTAGTATGGACCCTAAAAATGCAAAAATCACAATTCGTAAGTAAACAAAATTCTATAAACAGAACAAATGTCGGTGAAATGGAGGTAAGTGACAGACCTGGGGACCAGGATAGGCTCCTACAGGCCATCCCAAGGGCCAATTAACATTTGGTTGAAGCAGTGTGTATTCTTGCTCTATTCCAAACCTGTAGAGGGACAATTAGTAAATAGAGCGAAAAAAAGGAGACACGGATTAAATTTAAGATATTGTCAAGCTATTTGGAATCCTATAAATGTTGAGCCCTGAATAATTTTGCAATATGCATGCTTCGACCTGAAGCACTATTGGGGTCATCTTTAAAGAGAAAATCATCTGGCAGACTATGAAAGTTACTGAAAATGAAGGTGATATTGTTACCATCTTGTCATCCCCTAACTCTGCCCTACTGTACGAAGATCCGTGCAATGGTTAATGAAAACTATATGGAAGTGACAGGTCTCTTCCTTACAAGTTCTCACTTTCGTTTCTCCATTTTTAGTGGCCAACTTCTTTCAGATAACTTCAACATCGGATTTCAAAGTGATGACTATGAGTGTAATTAGAATACTTATTGTCAGTGCAGGAAAATCCATACCATGGAACCTCAGAAACAACCTTTTGGTTGTTGAAGATCTCAGCAGCTTTGTGTCGCTTATTAGTTGGGATTGGTTCTCCTGCAGGTGTGTATGCATCACAGATTACCTAGAAATATAGTGCATAGAGCATTATAATTGCAATCTTACAAGAGTAAACTTCAGGTAACATCATGAGTTTTGACTATGCAGTTCTGTTTATATTAAACTCACCAAGATATTGTTACCACCACGGAATGGATCCTTAAAAATTGCTTGGGGGCTGTAGCGGAGTGACACAACAATAACTTAATCATCAAATCCTTGAAAACCTCAATCCTCGAAACATAATTTGCTTGAAAACAAGACCAGAAATATGTGAAACATTATGAAGGTTCGTAGTTGTCCAAAAATCTTACTATAAGATTACTTCACTGTCTTCTCCTGGTGCTTGTCCTGTGCTTGAACCATCATAGTTCCACTTGGGAAGCTCAGATGGATGCTCAACAGGTTTTGAGATAGTCTGGTATATAAACAAACATTAATTTAGGAAAAAATAGTGAAGTAACTGCAGTATCTAAACTATGATTAACTATCAAGCTACATTGTCAATGTCACTGTACCCTTGATTTGCTACGAAGATCAATTCCAGTTCCTCCAATCCTGTTCCAGAGCAAATTCCAATTCAATTAGTTCTATAATTCATTACGAGCTACCAACCAAGCCATGCTACTGATGAACAAAAAGCAAGGATAACTATATAACTAAAAGTATATTCATCTTGATGCTACAAGAATATCATCTGGCCTTAAGTCGTCACAGTATCAAAAGTCACGTCAGGAAAACTATTTACCAAATGTATTCTGCAATAATCTTGTCAGTGTATGGACTGACGTCCAAATTGAGTAGTTGCTCCACCCTGTTTATGGTGCCGCTGTCAGACTTGAGAGAAGAACATACTCTAAGCTTGGTTGAGCACTTAACTGATCCCTTTTGACCTTGTTTTAACAATATGGAAGTCCAAGGGCTTGGGGTCAATGAACTTGTCAAACCTTTTGAGAGTTTCATCTGACATTGCATGCTAGGTGCAAGTATTTGTGCCATGTTTGGTCACTCCTCCCTACGAAACAAACATATCAAAAACAAATATTAGAGGATTATATCTGTAGATTACTCTGTATCAGCGACAATGAAAGTCAGCATATGTTTTAAAATTCGGTCTCAGATTACAACCATCAATTTATAACACAGTACTAGCCTACACTATCCTATCATGTATTCTATAATCATACATTGAAATATAGAATGAATGCAAACTAAAATGTTAGTCGTCCTTAATATCTCAACTTGGATATGGACTAACATTTCAGTTTGGACCACAAACATAAAAACTTTCCATAATATAGCCGAGCTGTACACTTGCACACGGATATATATCTTACTCGAGTATCCACAACTGAGTAAGATATATGTACAGGTAAAAGATAACAGGACGATCTAGTCATCTACGCAATTAAACTCACTCATTAGGATAGAAAAACATGCTTTTCTCGATAAGGGGCACATTTAAGTCTGTATAGACTTTGAGGGATTATTGACATGCCTCAAATTTTTCAGTAAGTAGTTAAGTTGAGAAAATGACATCAGAATAACTAAAAACATACACAATTGAAGTCCATTAATTGTGCCACTAATGCTTAATAGTATCAAATTGGCATTAGTACTTTGTTTTCTTTATTTGTTCTCTAATTAAAAGCAAAAAAATCCAAGAAAAGTCTTTTTGCTAAATTAATACAAAGTAGTACTAACTTCTTTCTTCTTTAGCCAACTGATCTTCACAGCTGATCATAACTTCTTTGACCAAAATGTTAGTATAAATCGAAAATGATACCGTTTCACAAAATTAAAAAAACTGATCATCCTCCCCCCTTAAATTTACAACAACAATAACAATCCTAAATGGATCTGGCCAATGCCAAACTCTTGGAACAATCAGATGAACAAAATCTAGCTTCTGACTAAAATATCACCATTTTCCACTTTCAATCTGAAGGTAGCACAAAAACCATATCACATTGGAAAAATATAAAATTCTACAGTTGGAAACCCGAGAAAGTCGTTGGAGTGGTACTTAAGACCTGGGATCGAATCTCTCTACGACGAACAAAAAGAATGTCATTCACAGTACAACACTATAGAAAATGCAAAATGATGCAAACCTTTTTAATTTCTTTTAACTAACTTTTACCATGTCATTAACTAATTAAATCACTACTTTTAATACGTAAACAAGTACAACACTAAATGCAATACAATGCCAAAAAAAAAGAAGTAGTAATTACCTGAGCTCTTAATCAGTTGGAAAAAAAAAAAAAAAAAAAAAGTTGGTGAGAAGATTAATAGAGGAAGAAGAGAAGTGAGAAGAAAAACAAATGTAAGGAACAAAGGTTGGTAATATTGGAGAGTGTGATATTATAATATTAGAAAAAAAAAAAAATTGATGAAAATGAGATTTGGCTTTTGCAAAGTAGATAGGGGTGTTGCACATTGAGTGGTGAAAAAAACAGTTTGAAAGATGCTTTAGAGGTCGCAAGAGAATCTCTGGACTATATTTATGGAATGGAATGATCATCGTCATGTTGGAACCTAGCTTTATGATAAGGTTTCTTTGTCTTGCTATTGTGATATTGCCTTTGTACATTCCACGGATAATATGGGGATTCAATTTTGTGAGTTACGACATTTTTTTTTATTTTTTTTATTTTTTTTTAAATGTACCAGTTTAACTAGTATATTTGTCGAGACTTAATTTTGATCATTAATATCTTTAATTGATTATTAGTAAAAATTGTAATGAAATGATTAATTTATGAAAATAGACATTGTGACTAATATAAAGATATATTATATAACTATAATAATAAAACTAATTTAATTCCTGTGCAACACACGGATTTATAATATTTTATTAAAATTTACAACAATTTATAATTCAACAAATTTTTTTTTACAAATTATTCCCTTATATAACAGTGTGATAAAGTTTCATATTTTTTAAAAATTTTCTAAAACGTAAATTTTAGAACGTACCCGTGTGATATAAAATATGAATAACTTTTTAATAATTTAACAACTTATTTTTCTTTAAGTAATTGCTAAAAGACTTATTGATTTGCGAGGGAAAGATTGCACATTGTAATTATTTCTTTCTTAATATTAAAGATGTGGAAGACTTGGAGTAGGAATTTTTTAACCTAATGTTGGCACGTGTTTCTTTTGAGGCCGTATTTTATTACTTGTTCCATTTTTATTTTGGATACCTTTCATAATATTTTACTAATTTATCCTCTCCTAGTAGACCCCTAACTATCCCAACTATCATACTTTTATATACATTCTCTCTCCTCTCAACTATCACACTTTATTCTTCCACCAACTCCACTTCTTTCATATTTTATTACTTTCTACCATTTCTCCTTAAATTCCGCGCAGGGAGAAATGGAGCAAGTAATAACATATAGAAGGAGTATATAGTTATAGATTTTGTGAGTTACTCCCTCCGTTTTTAAATACTTGCTCCATTTCTCCTGGACACCTATGCCGATGCTAATCTTTGATCAATAATATCTTAAGTTATCAAAACGTATAAATTCTAACAATTGAAAATAAATAATTTATTCATTGAAACGATTCTAACAAGTACCCACAAAATTATATATTTTTTTTATGTATAAATCACAAACATTAGTCAAAGTAGGACAAATGAATAGTGCAGAAAAAAGTAGAAATGGAGCAAGTATTTGAAAATAGAGGGAGTATGATTTACTCCTTATGTTTTTTTTTTAAATGCATCAATTTGACTGGCACATTTGCCAAGACTCAAATTTGACCATTAATTTCTTTAATTGTCTATTAGTAAAATTGTAATATAATTAAATTATAAAAATAAACATTGTGATTAATCTAAATATATACTCCCTCTGTTTTTTTAATTGCTCCATTTTCCGAAAAATGGCCATTTTTTTTTATAAATGCCCCATTACCAAATTTAGAAACCCACTCACACATTATTTCTCTCTCTTCTTTTTTACCATACCATCATTATATAATATTCTCCTTCTTATATTATACTTAGTGGTCCCCCATTTATATTTCTCTCTTTTACTTTTCCAAATGTTTTATTTATAACCACAAACACTATATATTATTTTACTTTTTGCCTAAAATTACGCGCACATCCTAACAGGGCACTTTACAAAAAAAAAGGTGAACTGCTAAACATCGCCCGCAAATCTCTACGTAAAGCCCATAAATTTGAAGTGAATTGACACTTTTGCCCACAAATTAAAAAACACACTCTCATCTTCTCTCTACTTTCTACTCTCATTTTCTCTCTCTAATTTTTTTTTTTAAAATGTCGAGGCGGCAAGGCAAGGAAGTGGCGGCACCGGTGACCGAGGGAAGGCGGTCACGCGGTGGAAAGGTATTTTTAAATTATTTTTTTTTTTTAAAAAAAACCTTGATATGGTGGGAGCCATGGTGGCGGCGCCCTACCCAGACGCCAGGCCCATGGTGGCGGCGCCTGGGCAGGATGCCTAGGCCACAGCGGTGGCGTCTGACGTGGACGCCGCCATCGTGGGCCTGGCGTCTAGGTAAGGCGCCGCCACTTTTTTTTATTTTTTTTTTTTATTTTCAGTTTTTATTCTATTATTTTTTTCCGGGTTTTTTTTTTAATTTTTTTTTGGATTTTTTTTCCAGTTTTTATTTATTTTTTATTTTTTAGGTTATTATTTTTTAGTTTTCTTTTATTTTATTTTTATTTTTTTTTGGTTTTGTTTCAATTTTTTTGGTTATTATTTTTTTGTTTTGTTTTTTTTTTTTTATTTTTTTTGTTTTTTTTATCTTTTTGATTTTTTTGTTTGTTGTTTATATTTTTTTGGTTTTTTTGTTTTTGTTTATATTTTTTTTTGTTTTTAGTTTATGTTTATATTGTTTTGTTTATGTTTGTATTTTCTTTTCAAATTTGTTGTTTTTTTTATGTTTATATTTATTTTTAAATTATTTGTATGTTGTTTTATTTATTTATTTTTATTTACTTTTTTTTGTATGTTCATATTGTATGTTTTGGTATTTTTTTTTTGTTTTTGTGTGTATTTTCTAATTTGTTTAAATTTTTTTTCGATGTTGTGTACTTTTCTTTTTAATGTCAATTTGTTAGTATTTTTTCTGTTTATTTGATATTTTTTTGGTTAGGTATTTCTATTTTTTGTTGTTGATACTTTTAAAAATAGATTATTAGTATAAATAATAATAATAACAATTGCTATTATTTTTCGTTATTTAAATGGAGTTAGGCATCGCATTTTCGACCTCGTGCGGGGAAGAGTATGGACGTTATTAGAAGTACAATCTACTCAATGGAGAGCTCGGGGCCTAGACACGTTAGATCTCGTGGCATTTCGGCCTCGGCTCGCAGAGAACGGGTGCACTATTATGAGGATGATGAAGATGATGATGGTGAGGAGAAGGAGGAGGAGGAGGATGTAGATGAGGATGTGGACGATCAGAGTGGACCATATGATGATTACGGTCCATTCAGTCAGAGGCTTGATGATATGTATGAGACGCATAGGGTAGATGTGCGTAAGGGTAGAGATGGTAGATTTGTTAGTAGATCTGACACATCATCTGCGTCCACTGTGTCTGCGGTTAGCAGAAAACGGTCGAGGGCCGTTAATGATTCTTGGGTGGTGAGGGGTGAGGTGGCTGGGGGACCTGTAGACGGGAGTGTGATTCCTAGATTTCTAAGACACATCGCGACCCGTATTTAGGAGGGCCAGGAGAGGGCTTTGGATACGGGCATTTTGAAATGCCAAACCCGGGAAAAGACTTGTAACTTTTTGCGTAGTTGGGCTGATGCTTGGCCGGAGGAGAGCGAGATGCTTGCTAATTGAGGGGCACTAGAGTGAGTCACCTTCCTGCCACCATGCACGAAAGGATTGACTCAACGCTGATCACGGCTTTCGTTGAGCGATGGCAGCCGGATACGAACTATTTCCACCTTCCGTTCGGTGAGATGACGATTATGTTGCATGACGTCGAGGCCATCCTTGGGATTCCTGTAGAGGGAAACCGACTTTCTGTTGTCACTGATGCGGATCAGACAGATTTACTAGCGGAGCTGTTGGCGGTGGATAGGGTTGTGATGTACACAGCGGCACTTGGTGTTTGGGATCACGAAGGTGTTAAGATCGCAGTCGTTTTGCAGCGATGTTTGGACCCCACTGCACGTAGGATGCAGGACACACAGCTGGCTGCATATGTTTTTCTTCTTCTCGGGTGTACCTTGTTTCCGGATAAGAGCGAAAACAAGCTCAGGCCACGCGACATAGTTGACGCGTGTGAGCCCGACAGAGTAGGCCAGTTTTCTTGGGGGTCGGCTACGTTGACGTATATGTATCACCAGTTAGGATTCTCGAGTGGGGCTGATGTGGCAGGTATCACTGGATGTCTGACATTGTTACAGACCTGGATATACGAGTATTTTCCTGCGTTTCGACCACACTGCGACCCGGTTCCTATTAGGGATGGGCAGCCACGTGCCTATGCGTGGAGTCCGCGGTTCGAAACGAAGTCCATTGACCACATGCGATCGATACGGTTATTGCTTGATAGGATGTCCCCATTAGAGGTAAAGTGTTTAAATTATTTTATAGTTTGGTGCATTTATTATACGAATCTTACTAATTTGAAAAAATGTGCAGGTGAACTGGATGCCTTTCGGCCAAAACCCTAGTAATAGGGTACCCAGGACCCTCTACACGGGACTGATTCAGTATCGTGAGATCGTAGAGGCGTACATGCCACAGCGATGTCTTCGCCAGCTTGGATTTGTCCAAATTGTTCCTCCTCCACTAGCATGGCCTAGTAAGGCGGTCCGATCTACGTCGTCGAAGGAGTACGTCGTCCAATGGCCGGGAAGCATGATTGCCACGTGGGAGCAGTTTCCAATGGTTTCCCGCCTATGGACGGCGGAGCTGCAGCGGCCGCCAACTGAGGTGACTGCCATGTGTGACCAGCACTACATAGAATGGTACAACCAGTATTTGCACCCGAGGTTGATCAGAGACCTCCACCACGGCGACGACATCGATGATGATGAGGTGCCACCACCCACTTCCGTGGATGCGGTATGTCTCATAAAACATTTGTTGTTGTGCTTTTTTTATATATAATACGTCGTTATTGAATTTCATGTGTTTTGTTGTGTGTAGTGGATGGGAAAGATGATGCAGTAGGGACACAGACTTTTTGAGGAGAGGGACAACATGACGACTGCATCAGGCAGAGCTGTTATTGATGATCTGGAACGGGCCCTTGAGTAGAGGCAGTGGGCATCACAGAGGAATTACTGATCTGTGGGCAGTTTATTTATAGAACATTTTGTACATTATCATAGTTGTTTGTAAAATTTGACATTATCTTTTTAGTTTGTAACATTTGAAATTATTGTTTTAAGTTTTAAAATTTGACATTATCTTTTTAGTTTGTAACGCGTAAGATCTAATTAGTGTGCATGCAAGATATAAAT